AAAGCTGCTCATAAGCTTTAACAAAATATAAATTAAAGATATTATTTAATTTAATGACACCTACATGGGAAAAAATCTAAATTTTCCAAAAGTACACTAACCACCTAAAAACCTAAATTTAAGTTTTATCAGTCATAAAATATTTAAAGTATATAAAACCTCAACACTACGAAAACGCCAGTAATGAAAAATGTCAGTAATTTTTGTAATATACACTGAAGAATGATCACTGGGTACCTGCTTTAAAGCATCTCAGAAAAACAAGAAAGAAGAAACAGATGCAGCATGGACAGTAGAACACCTTAGTAACTACTAAATACAAGGCTCATTTATACTAGACTGTTCATGTCTCAAAATAATTTTTTAAATGCTCACATCCACATCTGGTCTTTTTAGCAAATCTTCCACTTTAGCAACATCTCCATTGGCAGCAGCCTTAACTAATTCTTCATTGAGGTCGCCAGATTCTTGGGTTTCAAATAACTTCTTCAGGAGTTGGGAGAGTCTTTCTGCAAAGCACCAAATAAAGCTACTAATATAGGATGGTCTCAAACCTTAAATATTGTAATGTCTTTATATTTCATTATTTCTATCACTTATTTTTGTGCTAGGTTCTACAGTATAGAGTAACTACTCATTCTGTACTATATCATGTTGCATTAAAATTGAGCCCCTAAGTATTGTCTTTTCCAATTCATGTATTTCAAGTACAACTGCAAGAAAAGTAGAGTTACATACTAAAAAACAACAAGGTTTAGAAGTCATACTCAAAGATGATATAAATTTTCATCACAATACCAACTTCCTTTTTGACTTAAGCATACCACAGAAACTCTCAGAGATCTCACAGTATCAGTGGTTAGGATTCTAAAATAATATAATCTCTGTGTATCTGGAAATATGGCTTATGGGAAATCAATTTTTAGTTAAAAATGAGTATCTAAATGATAGCATGCTTTATTAAATATCATTAAGTACCAACTGGTTTTATGACAAGATAAGAACAAAGCTGAATACACAAAATTTTCAGAAGATTTCTTTTATTTAATAATTTTTATTTCTAGCCGGGCGTCAATGGCTCCCACATGTAATCCTAGCTACTCAGGAGGCTGAGATCTGAGGAACACAGTTCAAAGCCAGCCCGGGAAGGAAACTCCATGAGACTCTTATCTTCAATTAACCTCTAGAAAACCAGAAGTGGCGCTGTGGCTCAAGTGGTAGAGTGTTAGCCTTGAGCTGAAGAGCTGAGAGACAGTGCTCAGGCCCAGAGTTCAAGCCCCACAACCGACAAAAAAAAAAGAAACGAAAAAAGAAAGCACGCTCAAAACTACTTTTTAAACTTTAAGTAATTAAATGAAGAAAAAGATTGAGCATAATAAAATAGTATAGTAGCTCACCTAATCCTAGCCACATGAGAGGCTAAGACAGGAAGTTCTTAAGTTCAAGGCCAGTAAAAAGTATTTGTCAAGTTCAGAGCCAGACTGAGCTACATAGCAAGATCTTATTTTTAAAAAAATACTGGGAAACCTGTCTATAAAAATATGTTACTATTTCCTGATACTGTTTTTCCAGTGTGACATACAAATTCCTGCCCCAGTTGCAACAGTCTTGTTACACTCCTTCTTGGAATGTGACTCTCCCCCCCAATTCCTGTACTCCATGTAACACTTTCACAACACCTCTTCTCAGAACTGACCCTACCCCCAAATTCCCACAGTCTATGTAATGGGACCTATGTGACTACCCATGTGACCCACGTGACTGCCCCCTAAAATTTTGCTTAAATTCAGTCTACACCTGTCCCTGGTTGCTGCCTCCACTCCTGCTGGAGCAGCCCTGCAGGTCTACCCCTAATAAAGCCTTGAGCTCATAAAAACAAAAACAAAAAAACACTGGGCACCCATGGCTCATGCTTGTAATTCTTGCTAACTAGGCAGAGATCTAAGGATCATAGTTTGAAGCCAGCCAGGGCAAGAAGTCTGTGACATTCTCATCTCCAACTAGTCACCAAAAAGCTGAAAGCTGAGCTGGGGTTCAAGTGGTAGAACACTAGCCTTGAACAAAAAAGGCCAGACCCTGAGTTCCAGCCCCAAGACCAAAATAAAACAACAACAATAACAACAACAATAAAACAGCCATGGCTTACCACATACAATGTCCTTGGTTTGAGTCTTATCATTAAAAAAAAAAGTATTTAGGGGCTGAGAAGGTGGCTAGTGGTAGAGTAGTGCTTGCCTTGCATGCATGAGGCCCTGGGTTCAATTCCTCAGCACCACATGAGCAAAAAGAAAAAATCTGGAAGTGACGCTGTGGCTCAAGTGGTAGAGCACTAGCCTTGAGCTGAAGAGCTGAGAGACAGCGCCCAAGCCCAGAGTTCAGTCCCCACGACTGCACCCCCCCCCAAAAAAGTATTTAAATAACTGAGACAAATTATTTGTAACTTATTATCAATCCAGAAATTTCTGTGTTGGTTTCTACAAATGATCTAATAAAGCTGTCACATGAATTTGTAGGAGGAAAGACACAATCACACCTTAAAACTACAGATCTGATCTTCAAATTCTACCATACTTAAAAAGAAACAGAGCTGTGGGCATAGCTCACATGCTGGTGTCTACCTAGCACACAGAAGGCCCTGAGTTTGAATCCCAGTACTACCACCACCAAAAAAAAAAAAAAAAAAAGACATAAAAAGATTTGGTGAAAAGAAAAGGTCTTCATCACAACACAGGATGATTCAAGCTGCTATCCCAAATACAACCTCTTGGCTGGCACTAAAAGCCCAAGTATATGGTAGAATCATACTGGCCTTTTTTTGGGTGTGGGGGGGTCAGTCCTGGGGCTTGAACTCAGGGCCTAGGCACTTGCTCAAGGCTAGCACTCTATCACTCTACCACTTGAGCCACAGCTCCACTCTGGCCTTTTCAGTACTGAGGAATTGAATCCAGGGCTGCGTGCATGTGAGGCAAGCACTCTACAACTAAGCCACATTCCCAGCTCAATAATGGCCTTTTTTAATACAGTGTCTGAATAAAAAAAAATCTACATCACAACATATGAGGAGTTAAAAAAAACCATGACCTCTAATACATCTACATTATACATTGTGATAGCCAGGCATCAGTGGCTCATGCCTGTAATCCTAGCTACTCAGGAGGCTGAGATCTGAGGATCATGGTTCAAAGCAAGCCCGGGCAGGAAACTCCATGAGACTCTTATCTCCAATAAACCAATCAGAAAACCAGAAATGGCGCTGTGGCTCAAGTGGTAGAGCGCGGTCTTGAGCTGAAGAGCTGAGGGACAGTGCCCAGGCCCAAAGTTCAAGGCCCACGACTGACAAAAAAAAACATTGTGACAAATTTAATGGGAATGGAAGAAAAAAAGTTTTTATCACACTTGTGGGTTTTTAAAGTATTTGATGTATTTAAAATGTACCATGTGATTTTTTTGTTTCTTTTTGCTCTTCTCCCATGGTATAACCCCTTGTTTTCACTGTATTTGATTCTGGTACCCTGCATCTTGTATATACTTTTTTTTAACTTGGGAGGGGAAGGGAAATAACCAATTGCTGAAATAAGGATACAGGCTGACCCATTTTAACAATGAGATGTACAAGATACTATGTTGAAAACGAACTTTACAATTTGGGGGGAGGAGGGAGGAGGTGAGGAGATGGGGGGGAAGGGATGGTAGGGGAAAAACAGAGGAGGTAACAATGCTCAATAGGAAATGTACTCATGTAACTGTAACCCCTCTGTACAATATTTTTACAATAAAAATATACAAAAAATAATAAAAGTATTTGAAAGTTCCTCATTGGGATTAGAGGCATGGCTCAGTTGATAAAGTATCAAGCTCCAAGTTCAAGTTCCAATCTTGGACCAAGCAGAAAGAAAAGCTGCTCATAAGCTTTAACAAAATATAAATTAAAGATATTATTTAATTTAATGACACCTACATGGGAAAAAATCTAAATTTTCCAAAAGTACACTAACCACCTAAAAACCTAAATTTAAGTTTTATCAGTCATAAAATATTTAAAGTATATAAAACCTCAACACTACGAAAACGCCAGTAATGAAAAATGTCAGTAATTTTTGTAATATACACTGAAGAATGATCACTGGGTACCTGCTTTAAAGCATCTCAGAAAAACAAGAAAGAAGAAACAGATGCAGCATGGACAGTAGAACACCTTAGTAACTACTAAATACAAGGCTCATTTATACTAGACTGTTCATGTCTCAAAATAATTTTTTAAATGCTCACATCCACATCTGGTCTTTTTAGCAAATCTTCCACTTTAGCAACATCTCCATTGGCAGCAGCCTTAACTAATTCTTCATTGAGGTCGCCAGATTCTTGGGTTTCAAATAACTTCTTCAGGAGTTGGGAGAGTCTTTCTGCAAAGCACCAAATAAAGCTACTAATATAGGATGGTCTCAAACCTTAAATATTGTAATGTCTTTATATTTCATTATTTCTATCACTTATTTTTGTGCTAGGTTCTACAGTATAGAGTAACTACTCATTCTGTACTATATCATGTTGCATTAAAATTGAGCCCCTAAGTATTGTCTTTTCCAATTCATGTATTTCAAGTACAACTGCAAGAAAAGTAGAGTTACATACTAAAAAACAACAAGGTTTAGAAGTCATACTCAAAGATGATATAAATTTTCATCACAATACCAACTTCCTTTTTGACTTAAGCATACCACAGAAACTCTCAGAGATCTCACAGTATCAGTGGTTAGGATTCTAAAATAATATAATCTCTGTGTATCTGGAAATATGGCTTATGGGAAATCAATTTTTAGTTAAAAATGAGTATCTAAATGATAGCATGCTTTATTAAATATCATTAAGTACCAACTGGTTTTATGACAAGATAAGAACAAAGCTGAATACACAAAATTTTCAGAAGATTTCTTTTATTTAATAATTTTTATTTCTAGCCGGGCGTCAATGGCTCCCACATGTAATCCTAGCTACTCAGGAGGCTGAGATCTGAGGAACACAGTTCAAAGCCAGCCCGGGAAGAAAACTCCATGAGACTCTTATCTTCAATTAACCTCTAGAAAACCAGAAGTGGCACTGTGGCTCAGGCAGTAGAGCACTTGCCTTGAGCTAAAGAGCGCAGGGACAGCGCCCAAGCCCAGAGTTCAAGCCCCGCGACCGACAAAAAAAAAAAAATTTCTAATCAATTCCAGAGGTTGAAAGTTCTACTATTTATTTCTTGAAGTAGTTATTAGAAAGCAGAGATATCACAAATTGCAGTGCAAATAAATCACAAAGTAGACAAAGCCCACATTATTTGAGAGCAGGATATTAATTATCCTCCACTCTTTTATTTTGTCCGTTGTCAATGTATTGTAGTCCTGTCTAACCTCAAGGTAACAATAAATATTATTTCATTTTAAGTAACTAGCAAATTACTCTTCTGCAAAGAGATTTAAAGAAGTAGAAAGCTACAAACAAAATAGAGAAATCTAATGTTTTTCTTTTGTATCTTTCCAAAAGATACAAGTTATGATTCTATATTAATGGATAACAACAATGTCCACATGCTATAATATCATGTATGTAAAGTTGAACCACAAGAAAGACTTTGGGAACAATTCTACCCAAGCACCCAGCAAGGTGACATTTGAGCATGATTTCCAACTTGGAAATCGTAACTCTTATTAAGTGGTAAGAAGAAAAAAATGTGACAGATATGTAAAATATATATGAAGAAAGACATTTGCTAACAATAATGTTGGAAATAAAGACAAAGCAAAGTAGCTAAACAGGTAATGTCTTTCACAGAAAAGAAATGTTCTGACTATGGAATGGAATGGAATGAGAGAGGGAGTGGCTTACAAGGTGGTCAATATTTAAGAGAGTCTATATAATCTGAAAGAAAGCCAACAAGATTATCTGTTTCTAAGAATAGGAAAATTAGCAAAGGTTGTGATATAAACAATACAAAAAGAGATTAACAATATAAAACATACCACCAGATGCATTGCTAATGGCTGATCCTGCAGATGCCACCTTGGAAACTGCGGCTGGATTATATGTCCAAGATGTTCCACAAACTTCTACTTTTAAATCACTGTCTGAATAAATCTGTTGTACTCGGCCAACTTTACCTAAAGTCTTAAAAAAAAAATTAAGATTCATATTTCCAAGTGTAAGGAATATAGCCATAAAACCAACCATCAATTTTTAAGTGTTAGTTTTACTTCTTAGTTTTAGAGCATTTCAAAGATTTAGCCATATTCAAATAGGTTATTTGTTGGTTATAAACTTTGAAGATTACCTTTTGAAATTCTTTTAATATACTACAAGTATGATAAAGCCTACCTTATTCATAAAAGTTAACAGAATTCATTTTCATATTCAACACTTTTTTGAACACACAGATATACCTTGAGAACTTGCAACTAAAAGTAGTCTACAAGCCATGATTGATATGGCCTCAAAAAGGAAATCTGATTTCTACCAAAAACAAAAAAGCACTACCTTAAATGGTTTATATTTACTTCTATGTTAAAATTGTTTTTAGAATTACCTTGTTTCCAAATCAAAAGTTAGATATAGAGTACTATGCATAAATGGACCAGATGAGTCATGTCTGCAATCCCAGCTATTCACAGACAGAGATGAGAGGACACAGTTTGAGGCCAACCAGAGCAAAAAAGTTCATGGGGCCTTGGGCATGGTGAAGCTAGACACAGTAAGGCAGAGGAAGATATGATAACTGGGTTCCCAGACTAGCCTGGTCAAAAATCACAAGCACTACTTAGGCACCAAAAGCTCACACCTGTAATCCTAGCTACTTAAGAGGATGTGATCCAGAGGTCTGCAGTTCAAAGCCAGCCTGAGTAAAATAGTCCAAAAGACTATGACAAGCATGAGACAAACTTCAAATCCTAGTTTATAGGAAAAAAAAGTAACATAATTTTTTGACCTATAAGATTTCCTTTTTTTGGGGGGGAGGGGTCCGGTCGTGGAGCCTGAACTCTCAGCTCTTCAGCTCAAGGCTAGCGCTCTACCACTTGAGCCACACCGCCACTTCCAGCTTTTTTCTTTTTGCTTATGTAGTGCTGAGGAATCAAACCCAGGGCCTCATGCATGCAAGGCAAGCACTCTACCACTGAGCCACCTTCCCAGCCCCCTATAAGATTTCTTATGATCTGAATTTGGGTAAGTGATACAGTTGAACAGGTTCCTCTGTCCTTTGTATATAGCAAGAATCAAGGAAGCTATTTGTTCGTTTAACCTGACTCTAGAAATCGCTAGTAGCTTCTTTGCTATCTAGTATGAGTTCTTGTCTTCACTTCCTAAAGAACTACAATTGGTCGCTTTTCCAAAGCACCTTGATTCTTTACTAAGGGCAGGGCAGTCCATAACTTGGGCACTGAATACTCTCACTAGAATTTTGGTTTCTATGTCTTTTCATGGACAGAGTGGGAAATTCAAAAAAAAATACAAATTTTGTTAAGATAAAATAAGTTCAACCATTTCCAAATTAAATTGTTAATTATATCTGATTCTCCTTTCCCAAACTGTAATTTAACGTCAATGGGATAACAGAATTACCACATAATTAAGCTTCTATTGTTCTAATGGTTATATTTACACTAATATCTATACATAAGTAAATATATATGTGTATATACATAATCACATGTATATGTGTAATCTCACTTCTTCATTTTGTCCTTGTTCTTAAAATACATAGTAATATACTTTGTGAGTACATATAAGTATTCATAAATGCCTGTAATTTCAGCTATTCAAAAAGGTGGAGACTGGGACAGCCATGATTAAAGGCCAGCCTCGGCAAGAAGTTGTCAGCCTGGGCACTGATGAGACAAACTTCAAATCCTAGTTACCTACAAATCTAGCTAATCAAGAGACTGAGATCTGAGGATCCTGGTTCAAAGCCATCCAGGCAAACAACCAAGACACTTATCTCCAATTAAAGTCAAGTAAGCTGAGTATAGTAGTGCACACATGGACTCCTAAGCCCTGTAGATGGTATACATAGAAAGATCTCCAGTCAAGCAGCAAAATGCCAGACTGGAGATGAGGCTCAAATTGTCAGGTGACAGTGTGAGGCCCTGAGTCCAAGCCCTGGAACCAGTACAAAAAATTTTTTTAATACACAGGAATCTATAAATCTGATGGTTTCCTAGTACAGGCAATATTAAAATTAGTCATTCATGTGTCTCCTTTATCCTCTTAATATTTTCACTTAGTAGTATTTCATGACAGTTATCGTAACTAAAAAGCAAACAAACAGCCTAGTAAGCTTTTTTTATGCTCTTTCTATTCCATTTTTGATGGTCACACTTTACATTGTTAGAACACATAATCATACTATCCCTTTTCCTTTCGTGTGTGTGTATATGTGTGTGGGCAGGTACAGAGGCTTGAACTCAAGATCTAGAGCTCCTATGTTTAAAAATGTTTGGCTTCTTCACTCACAGCTTGCACTCTAGCACTTGAACCACATCTGCAGTGTAATTGGAAATAGAGACTCTTGAACTTTTCTGCCTGGTCAAGTTCCTCAGATTTCACCTGTCTAGATACTTCCTGAATGAGCCACTAGTGCCTGGCCTATTTCTTCTCCTTTGTAACTATTTAATCTTAATTCAACTAATAAATAAATACATATTTCATGATCATCTGATATCTCTCTACTCATCTTGGTTGCCTGAAACTCATTCTTTAGTAGACTATTCAGAAAGGACCAAGATTCTCTACTTTCTTTTATATTTATATTCATAACAATTTGGAGCCTTCATATTTGAGTATCACATATATAATCTTCAGCTTTTTTTATTTTACTTTCCTTAATTAAGCATCTTAAACAACAAAAAGCTATTTCATTGTTTCCTGGCATGAAATACTTAACTCAAATTGTTGTTTTTATTTTTGCCAGTCCTGGGGCTTGATCTCAGGGCCTGGCACTGTCCCTGAGACTCAGTGTGCTCAAAGCTAGCACTTACCACTTGAGCTACTGCATCATTTCTGTTTTTTTCTGAGTAGTTGATTGGCAATGAGAGTCTCATGGGCTTTCCTGCCCTTGGCTGGCTTCAAACCACAAACCTCAATTCTCAGCCTCCTGTGTAGCTAGGATTACAGGCATGCACCACTTGCACCCAGCCAGATTTTTTTTTAACTGCAAAATTATTTTCTTTCCTTTCAGACCAATAGTTTGATGTTCTACCTAGAGATCCAAATAATTTTTCCTGTCCTTGAAGATTCCATTGTCTTCTCAGTGTCCCACTAATCTTTTTTTTTTAATTTTATTTTATTTTATTTGTGAACATACTGTACAGAGGAGTTACAATTACATGGGCAGGATAATGCGTACATTTCTTACCAAGCATTGCAGCCTCCTCCTTTGTTTACCCTTCACATCCCTTCCCAGCCTCCCCCCTCCCCCCCAATCCCAATCCTTCTCCTTCCCCCCCTTCTCCCCCGCCCCCACGCACCGACATTGTAAAGCTCGTTTTTTAATTTTTTTTTTTTTTTTTGGGTCCGGTCGTGGGGCCTGAGCTCTGGGCCTGGGCGCTGTTCCCTCAGCTCTTCAGCTCAAGATTAGCGCTCTACCACTTGAGCCACAGCGCCGCTTCCGGCTTTTTTCTTTTTGCTTATATGGTGCTGAGGAATCGAACCCAGGGCCTCATGCATACAAAGCCACCTCCCCAGCCCTGTCCCACTAATCTTAAGTCAGTTTTTCAAGGGTTTTTTTTGCCCTACTTTTAAAGTTTATCATCTTTTTTCACTTCAAGAACATTTTTCTGAAATTTCAAACATTAGAGTTTGGTGGCAGCATATTTGCCTACCATGCTAAATGCCTTAAGTTTAAACCTAGCATTAAAAACAAAACAGAAAAAAAAACAATTGTTTCAGTGTTTGTTTGCAAGGGCTACTAGTGTACATGAAGTCACCTTCTATATTTGTCACCTTCTATAGAATATTTTTATCCTAGTTTATTAAAAATGTTTTCCTATTTTCACCTTCTATTCTTCTTAATGCATTATGTAATTCCAGCTTAGTCTTCATTTTCTTTTTCCTCAGTGTTAAGTATTGAACCCAGGGCCTTGAGCATGTTAGGCCAAGTGCTCTATCTACCACTGAGCTACATCACCAGCCCACTTCTGAAATGATCTTTTTTCCCTTTTTAATTCTTTTCTAAGGTCTATCACCTCACTTGTAATTATTATTTCAACTACAAATAACAATTTGCCATTTTCTTAATTTCTTAGTTCATGTTGAATTCTTTGATTTTAGTTTCTAACATACATTCATTGTCTGTAGAGAAGTTATTCTGTTCTTCAATCTTTTTTTTCAATAACTGTGTACAGAGATTCAACCATGATTCTTGCCTTTTATAGATTATCTCATTTCTTTTTCTTTGTTTTTTCTGTTTTACTCAATTTTGTATCTATTTTCATCAGTTTTTACTTGATGCAAGGTTCTCCCTGGAAGGGAGGCCTCAGCCACTCCAGTCCCTTCAACTTTAGCAGAGACATATTGCTCTCAGCCCAAACTCGAGTCTGCTAGTGCCCTTAGGGTTCAGTTGCTATTTCATTAGCTACCATGGTAGCCAAAATATCCTCTTGTTCTCAGATCTATCAGATAACCTATTACTTCTCAATGTTGCTGAACAGACTGATTTGGACCCATAAATTATACCAGTGATTTCTCTCTACTCATTTATATTTGACAGTTCAAAAGGCATACTCTATCTCATATGCCTTATTGATGTTTGTGGCTTTTCTAGATTATTATTCTAGTTGCCTATTTCTATAAGGAATCTCTCTCCTGGATTTCAGCAATTATCTAGAGGTTTTGTTTATATAAAATTTAATATGCTAGGGCTTGGAAGGTGGCTCAGTGGTAGAGCACTTGCCTTGCATGCATGAGGCCCTGGAATGGAAATTCCTCAGCACCACATAAGCAAAAAGAAAAAAGCCAGAAGTAGTGCTGTGGCTCAAGTGGTAGAGCTCTAGCCTTGAGCTGAAGAGCTGAGGGACAACACCCAGGTCCAGAGTTCAGGCCCCACGACCAGACCAAAAAAAAAAAAGAAAAATTTAATATGCTAGAAAATTATTTAGGCAAGATATCCAGCCTGAAAGTTCCAGTTCAAATGCTTAGTTCTAATTTCCTCACCTTTAAAATGAAAATCCCAGCCAAATGCTGATGGCACATGCCTGTAATCCTAGCTACTCAGGAGGCTAAGATCTGAGGATCATGGTTCAAAGCCAATCTGGCAGGAAAATCCATGAGATTCTTATCTCCAATTATCCACCAAAAAAAACCCAGAAGTGATACTGTAGCTCAAAGTGGTAGAGCATTAGCCTTGAGCAAAAGAGCTCACAGGCATCCAGGCCCCAAGTTAAGTCCCACAACCAACAAAAAAAAAAAAAAAACAGAATTAGGATTGGGAATGCGACTTAGTGGCAGAGTACTTGCCTAGTATTCATGAAGCCCTGAGTTCAATTCCTCAGTACCACATAAACAGAATAAGCCAGAAATGGTGCTGTGGCTCAAGTGGTAGAGCACTAGCTTTGAGCAAAAGAAGCCTAGGGTCAGTGTCCAGGCCCTGAGTTCAAGTCCCAGGACTGGCCAAAAAAAAATTAAATTTAAATTTAAAAAGTAAAAATGCCTTATCTAGTACAAAGTTTTTGTGTACACATATATGTTTGGGCACATGTGCAAATTGAAATGTCTCTGAATGAACGTAAGGTAGCAAGAGTGCTTTTTGTTTCCATTTTGTTTACTATTGTACTCCTAAATCCTAACAAGTATATTTTATGTATTACTCAGGCAGGAAGGACAGATAGAGGGACAAAACAGAAAGGGCAGGAAGAAAACACTGGACAGGACACAAGAAGCTAGTTAGGACAAAAAAGGGGGATGGATAGGAGAAAAAGGAGGTACTATCAGGAAAGAAGAACTGGACAACATAAGGAGAGATGAGAGAAGTACATGGGACAGGAATCAGACAATGAATGGAACAGGATTCAGGGAGTAGATAGGACAAGAGCTTGAACTGCTTGAGATCAATAGGGATAGAGCAATATGGAAGACCGAACTGAAGGACAACGCAAGATAAAAGGGGAATGAGGCATCAGGGATGTATTACCAGGATGAAACAAGGTGGGATAGAAAGGGATGAAGAGTAGTAAAAGAAGGACAGAATAAACACAGCAAAATAAGTTTGTTTATTGTTACTGATTATTTGGTAGAAAAGGTATTGAAATTGAATAAATAAAACAAACAACTACACTTGTTGGGAGAAAAGCAATCCTAACAAAATGTACATGTTGAACTGATTATATATACCCGTAAGTTTCAGAGAGCTAGACCCTGAAGCAGTAAGACTGCAATGCTCTAGCACTGCTAGAACTGAATGAACATGTTTCTATCTCAATTTAGGGGTGACTATAGGGAAAGCTCTGCTGCCTGACAACACATTACATTCCCCATTAACAGCACTATCAAAGCCCTTTTTGCTATGTCTTCCCAGGCTAACTTGACTAAAAAAAGGTACAAGCATGCCTACCCACTAATGGAAAGTACAATCTAAGAAGATTCATACCAAACTGGTTTCTAAAATTAACTTATTTTTAAAAATAATGTGAAGCACAATATATTTCAAGGCCCAAATTATTTTATATGTACTTACTGGAAGCATGGCTTCAGCCCATTCCCCATGTCCTCTTTGTAGAAGTTTAATTCTTTCTAGATCATAACAAACTTGTACTAGATCCCCCACTTGAAACTGTGAAGTGCCTCCTTCTGCACCCTGCACAGCATCCCCACTTCGGACAATGTTTGCTTTAGTGAGAACAGCAGGATTGAAGGTCCACCTATAAAAGCAAAAATTGAAACTCAAAACTGGTTAAGTTTACCTAACTTTAGTACTTTCTTCATCATTACAGTGAGAACAAACCTGTGACATATCAAAAGAGTAAACCAACCCTTTACAATTACATTCTGAGCATTTGCTATTTCTTTCTATAAATTTTCCTATTTTAGAAACTGTTTTTTCAGGTAGGACTTAATATGCAGCCCAGACTGGCATCAAGCTCATTATCCTCCTGTTTCAACTCCTTGGGTTTAAGAGTATATCACTGGGGCTGGGAAGTTGGCTCAGTGGTAGAGTACTTGCCTTGCATGCATGAGGTTCTGGGTTCAATTCCTCAGCACCACATAAGCAAAAAGAAAAAAGCTGGAAATGGTGCTGTGGCTCAAGTGGTAGAGCGCTAGCCTTGAGCTGAAGAGCTGAGGGACAGCGCCTAGGCCCAGAGTTCAGGCCCCACGATTGTACCCAAAAAAAAAAAAAAAAAAGAGTATATCACCATAACTGGTCCTAATTTCTTATATGTTTTTTATTTTTTTATTTTTTGTTGGTCATGGGACCTGAACTCTGGGCCTGGGTGGTGTTCCTTAGCTCTTCAGCTCAAGGCTAGTGCACTACCACTTGAACCGTGGTGCCACTTTCAGCTTTTTCTGCTTATGTGGTGCTGAGGAATCGAACCCAGGGCCTCATGCATGTGAGGCAAGCACTCTACCACTGAGCCACCTTACCAGCCCCTATGTTTTTCATTGTAAAAATACTGTACAGAGGACAGTACATGAGTAAGGTAATGAGTACATTTCCTATGGAGCATTGTTATCTCCTTTGTTTTTCCCCCACCACTCCTTCCCTCCCCACCTCCCTAATTTTATAATTTTATCATAAAATTTGAGAAATGAGAGAAATGAGCCAGGTGCCAGTGGCTGACACCTGTGCTCTTAGCTACTAAGGAGGCTGAGATCTGAGGATTTAATACCACTAATAAATGGCCACTGTTTAAAAATAAATACATCTGAAAAACATGACAAATCAAAGTGCCATTATCACACATGTACATCTAGATCACTATTATTAAAGCTCTACTATGAATCCTTACAGATCTATTAAGATACTGAGTGATTTATAAGCTACAAAGTGATATTCTTTTTAGAGAGACAGAGAAGCAGAGAAAGAGGCAGAGACAGATACAGAGACACTGTTTTGTGACTTCTTTTTTTCACAGATAATATGCCTTGGAAGATTTTTCCATGTCAGAAGTATATATCTACTTAATTCAATTTAACAGTTACAGACTATCCTACCCCATATCATGGGCATACACAAGTTAATTTGGCTAATTTCCTATAGTCTATCATTTAAAGATTTTTCAAATTTCCACAAGTACATACAATACTATAAAGAAGGTGAGATGATCAAGATACACTGTACTCATAAATCAACAGGAAATTCCTTTGTACAACTATTTAAAAACAATTTTTAATATATTTTAAATACCATAAAGAATATCCTTGCATGTATGTTTCTTTACATAGAGTCAATGTTTTACCAAAGTCTTAAAAGAACAACTTAATAAAGTATATCTTATTATTAACACTTGTCAGACTCAACCTGCTCTACAAATTATACCATTTCCTCATACTATTGCCAATCTCATGGATAAAAATGCTATCTAGTTTTAATTTGCCAAGTGTGGTTATTTTCCAGAATTATAATCACTCTATTAAAGCCAATTTGGATTCTGATTTCTTTACTATAAAAAATAAGCATTTCCTCATGCTGTTCTATTCTTCATAACCAACATTTTAATGATGACATCTATGCCATCAAACAACATATGCCACAATGTATAACACAACACTTCCCTTGGTGCTACATTGAATGAAAAAGTTTTGAAACTTTGAAACTAGATGTAGGTATAACATAGAACTTTATTAGCATAGGCAGGAACTTCCTAGGTAGAATCCCAAGGGCTCATTAAATAGGAGAGAGAACTGACAAATGGGACTGCATCAAACTAAAAGATTTCAACACAGTAAAGGACACCATTGCTGGGGTAAAAAGAATCTATACAGAAAGAGAGAAAGGGTGCACAAATGCAATCATGCTATTCAGTATACACAATGTAGAAAATGACAGGAGGTGCAAAGTGGGAGAAAGCAAAGGAAGGAGGTAACATTGTCCAAAGAAGTAAATATATTCATTACCTGATTTATGAAATGGTAACGCCTCTGTATAAAACTTTAATAATAACAATAAAATCATATTTTTAAGTCTACAGAATGGGAGATCTTTGATATATGGAGAGTTCAAGAAATTAAATTCCAAACCAGGCGCTGGTGGCTCACACCTGTAATCCTAAACTACTCAGGAGGCTGAGATCTGAGGATCATGGTTTAAAGCCAGCCCGGGCAGGAAAGACCGTGAGACTCCTATCTCCAATAAACAACCAGAAAACCAGAAGTGGCACTGTAGCTCAAGTGGCACAGTGCTCACCTTGAGCTGAAGAGCTGAGGGACAGCACCAGGCCCAGAGCTCAAGCCCCACTACCAAAAAAAAAAACTAAATTCCCAAAGCATCAATAACAGCATTGACAAATGAACAAAGGAACTAAATAGAGGATTCTTAGAAGTAAACATGGCCAATAAACATATTAAGAGATGCCCAGCATCTTTGGCCATAAATGAAATACCTGTAAGACTCATCGCCAATTAACCAGACAAACATCAGAAGTGTAGGTATAGCTCAAGTGGTAGAATGCTAGCCATGAGCTAAAAACCTGAAGGAGAGCACAAGCTCTCAAGCCCCAGTACTAGCACAAAAAAAAAAAAAATATATATATATATATATATATTACCCAAGAATTTTGCACAACAAAAAATTCTGTAATAAGATTTAACATTCCCAAATAACAAGAAAATATTTAATAAGAATATGTAAACTCAATGCTTGATAAGAAATGTGCTCGTTATCTTGCCCATGTAATTGTAACTCCTCTGTATGGTATTCTCACCATAAAAAAAAAGAATATGTAAGCTAATAAAACATTCTTAAGAATTTTTAAAACAAATTCAATTTTATTGAGATATAATTCACATACCATACAATTCACTCATTAAAAAGTAGTGTTTATTTAAAAAGTTGTGCAACCATCACCACTATCCAATTTTATTTTCACTCCCTCTTTTTTTTTTTTTTTTTGTCGGTCGTGAGGCTTGAACTCTGGGCCTGGGCGCTCTCCTTCAGCTCTTCAGCTCAAGGCGAGCACTCTACCACTTGAGCTACAGCGCCACTTCTGGTTTTCTGGTGGTTTATTGGAGATAGGAGTCTCACAGTCTTTCCTGCCTGGGCTGGCTTTGAACAGTGATCCTCAGATCTCAGCCTCCTGAGTAGCTAGGATTACAGGCGTGAGCCACCAGCGCCCGGCTTCACTCCCTCTTAAAGATACCCAACTATTAGCAGTCATTCTCCCCAGGCATTATGTATCCAATAATATACTTCGGTCCTTCAGACTTATTCTTGACATTTTATAGAAATAAAATTACATAGTCTATGACCTTTTCTGGCTGGCTTCTTCCCCTTAGCATTATGTTTTCAAGATGCATTTATGTTGCAGTATATGTCAGTACTTTATCCCAGTTTATGGACAGATACTAATTCCCACTGTATGGATATGTCACTTTAAAAAGTTTTAACAAGGTTTTATTTTAATATAGCAGGGTTCAAGTAGGAGAAATGAAAAAGAGAAGCATTTCTTGCTCCCCATATAGGAAATGAAAGCCTCCTGAAATACCACATTTTGTTTATCCACTTACTAGAAAGACTCCTGAAATACCACATTTTGTTTATCCACTTACTAGCTAATGGACAATCTGAATTCTTTTTTT